AGCTCCCATTTGCCACCAAGCCACGAGAATGATCGCAACCACTCACCCCTTCCACCGTCTTCAACCGCTGAGCTGCATATAAGCCCCTCCAAAGGATCATGATACTGAGACGACCCATCCACGGTGGCCTCATTCTCGCCGGCGTATAGTTGCTGTAATACCTGATATTTAATTAAGTCTTAAGCCAATAATAATTAAATTTAGTAAATTAAAATTATGCACTACATTTAGCACTTATCTTCAATGTTATTTGTTGGCATTACATTTTATTATTATAGCTATCATATGATTTTATTAAGCTAATGGCTTTGCTAACTAAGTTTTTAGTTTTAATGTGTAGAACAGCTAGTTCGATGTGGAAACTCAATGTGCTAAACTTACAAAGGAAAAATGATATTTATTATGATTATTTAATATGATATTTTACCTCTATTAAGATTGATTTAATGATGAATTACTAGTTTATATTTTTAATATATGGTTTTATGTAAATGTGTTGAGGACTTAGTTGCTATTTCACAATTTGAGTGAACTTTAGGCACCTGATTTAAGAAGAAAAATGGGATTTTAGAGCTGGTTTTCTGAGGTTAGGGCAGCTGTTAGAGGCTTAGAAAAACCTAGACCCTTGTCCTACTATAAGGTCACTTTACTTTTGCTTGGTTTCTATAAATTTAGGCTCTATTTGGTACGAGGATTCAAATCAGAGTGATTCTAATTTTAGTTTTAAAACCATAACCAAAGGGGAGGTAGTTTTAAAACCATGAGTGGTTCTAGTTTAAAACATCACATCAGGGTTCAAACCTTAAACCATAACTGTTTTTTACTTTTTGTAAACAAATAAAGATTTAAACCATAATCATGATTCTGGTTCTAGAACCCTCAAACCAAATGCTACCTTATGTTGTGTTTGGTATGAGCGTTCAAATCATGGTGGTTTTAGTTTTAGAACTATAACTATGATTTAGTGGCTGTTTGTATAAGGATTTTGAACCCGAAATCATGATTTTGGGTTCAAACCAGTATTTGTTTGAACCAGAACCATCCTGTTAGGTATGTTTTTCAGTCGGTGTCACAAGTGGTGTTACAACACTAGTTGTGACACTGATGACAGTTAAGTATTTTGGATTGTGTATTCAGTAAATAAATTTGCAGAGACTATGCAGAAAGATAATAATGATGCAGAAACAGTAAAGACACACGAAAATGGTATCGCAGTTCGGTGCACACACCTACTCTGCGGGGCCACGTCCAGACAGTGATCAATCTACTAAGATCAGAGGATTACAAACACCAATCGGTCTTACACACGCAACGATTCCTTCTTTGACGATGTTGCCGTTGCCTAGAATCTCCTTAGGAGGCTTGATCAGCGAGCACCACTCGACTTGACAGTTTCCTCCCGAAACCAAAGAAATCTTCTCCCGAAGAACCAACTCAAAAGTGTTCTAACAATCCGTCGTAACACATCAAGCGACTCTTAACATTACAATCTCATACTCTCATGAACACACGCAACACTTTGTTTTCAGCACTTTTTTCTGCTCAAATACGTTCAGCACAATACATAAAAAAAAACTCCACACCATTGCTGCCGTTCAATGTCTAATACAAAAAAAAAACTCCAGCCTAAAGAATTTCCAGCCATTAATTCCCAAAGTCCACTCTTCAATCTCAGCAATCAACTCCTCTGATTTTTAGTCCTTAAACTAGACAACCAGACTTTCCTTAAAAGGCTCACCTATTTGCTATGCTAGCCAAGCTTCCAGCCAATTTGTAATCAATTTGCCAAATATAGTTTTCAACTAATTTACTAAAAATAAACCAATACAAAAATGCACTAACACATCCAAACTAAATACTGGATTTAAGAACCATTTTTTACTTTTTACAAACAAACAAAAGTTTGAACCAGAATCGTGGTTCCGGTTCTAGAACCATCATACCAAACGCAACCTTAGACTTTATTTTTTGGTCTATTTCAGCAAAAACTCTAGAACTCCGACTAGAGCATTTTTCTTCTCTCTTCTCACTCCATTTCTCACCCAAAACTCAGAACCAAACTTAGATTTTTAAGAGAAAATGACCTAGAAATTCAAGCAACCCATTTCAGCTCGTTTTTCAACTTAGAACCAGAAAACTATCAAGATTTTGAGCTTCTATTCACTTAGGAATGGGTTTTTCTTCAAGGTAACTCCTTTCTTATGTTAGAAATTATGATTTCAGAGATTAAGTTGTTGAAATCCTACTTAAGATTCGGATTTTTGATGTGTATTGTCATGTATATTGGATGTAGACACTTAAAGAAGAGTTTCTATAGATTTTGTTCAAATGTTGATTTTTGAGTGAAATTGATGATTCTAGCTTAGTATTGTTGATGATTTGTTGAAGGTAAACTCTTATTAGGATGATGATTCATGTATTTGAGAATGGGTCTTTGAAGATTTAGGTTTGCATGTTAGGTGTTTGTTAAAAAGTTCAAATATAAGTCATCTGTACAGCTTCTAAAAATTCTATTTTCGTGCTACTTATATGTATAATTTTAACTGATCTTATATTTTTCTGTTAAATTAGACATCTTAAAATTTACATGGGTTTTTGAATCACTCAAATCGGATTTTTTTACATTTAGTTATGAATTTTACAAGTTCTGTTAAAATGCTGTCATTTTTCTGACGGGATTTTGTTTGAATCTGGATTTCGGGTTATTTTTTGTCAGCTTGAAAAATCTGAAACCAATAATGTAGTAGCTCTAAAAAGAGGATTTTGAGTTTACTTTCATTTGCCACTGGTCTCATAATATTTTGAGTTTTGATGAATTTATTATGAATATTTTAATAACAGTGCGCAGTTATGTGTTTTTGTTAAGTGATGATATGAATTGATTTTTCACAGATATAGTTGTTAAAGGTCAATTAGCACATTGGATGCTCCTCACAATCAGGTAATTTGTGCTTACAATGGGTGATCAAGAGTCAAGTAAGTAGAATTAAAGTGTTTCCAAAACTGCATCACAAGACTCATTGTTAAATGTACATGTTTTACAATTATAATTTATGCAGGTTTATTCTCTTATAAAATGCTCATATGATTATGTTAAATAGTATTTATGATTGATTATTTTTTAAAAGAGATTATGGTATGTTGTTATTGTGTTTTTATGTTTTAAGAGATTTTATGGTATGATATATAGATGAGAGACTGGGGTAAACAGGGATGCGAGGGGCCAGCATCCTAAATTAGAGAAACTGCCTCTTTGAGACAACTAGAGAAAAATGCTAGTGGAAGTTTCTTGTTGATCGCAAGAGAAAGAGATTCAAAAACCCGACTTAGTATTTAAGAGAAGAGAAATGGTCCAATTAGAGAAGGTCATGTATAGAGAGGCTTACTTGGAACCGAAGTTCTGTGTCATACCTAAACTAATAATAAGTATGAAGGTTTAAGAACAAGCAAAGAGATTTTTAACCACAAAAGTTTTAGATATTTACCTTATTTGAAACCTACTTACTGAGTTTTTGCTCATTAGTTTTACCTTGTGATGCAGATGATGTTGTTACCAAAGAGTAAATATGTTCTCAAGTTAACTGAGTATATCAAGTCCTACATTTGGTAGCTTGTTTATATGTATTTCTAAACAAGAAATAGGCCAAATTATTTTGTAACTATATTGCTTTTGAAAAGCCTATTTTTATCTAAGATTTATTGTTGTAATTATTTTGCTCACAAACTTCTTTGTTAAAACCATTATAAAAATATTTATGATGAAATACAACTATAAGTTTTCCCATCTTGCAAATGACATTAATTTTAAGAATGAAAATATGTTTAAGTAGTGCCATTCCACCAAACTTGGCGTTGGACCGGTTTAGAATTGGGGCGGTTACAGTTGCATAAAGCGTTGGCCTCTAAAAGCTCGCCGGAAAAAAGCCTCCCTAAAACCCATATCTCTCTCCCAAAACAAGACGCTGTCGGAATTTCACCAGAAAAGTCGAATCGACTACATTTGGGCACCCTTCTATGGAACTAGGAGTCCGGTGACATTTTCATTTTCTTGATCTTGGTCATCCCTTGTCAAGAGTTCGACTATGTGGTTCATTGGTTTAACCTCACACTCCTCCAACATCGGCACCGCGGAACTTGGCATGCCGGGAAAGAATCTAGTTGAAGTTCCTAAGATCATCAATGTTACCGTCATTAGCACAAGTACCCCAGTAATTTCTCATTTGTAACCTGACATGTTACCATTATCACCACGAAGTAAACGGATGAGTTGCCATAGTGGTAGTAAGTAGAGAAAGGTCTGTTTGATACCACCACATTCTTTTTAGACCGCACAAACTGCAATTTCCTAAAGTTTAAAGAGAAAATTAGGCCTTATTCTACAACTTTCATATGTATCACAACTTATTTGTTGTTTAAATTTACCTTACGTTCTAGAGACCTTGGACTAGTCTATTTATATTGCACAAATCCAAAAATTCCAATATTGGTCAAATAAATCCGATGTGATTTTTTAAAAAACATTTTAATACACCTCAAAATTTCTCAAATTCAGTTGGTTCAAAATTGAAAAACAAAAAAAAAAAAAAAAAGAGAGAAAGAGAGAAATAGGCCAAGACTTGAGATCAATTAAAATTAATAGGCCAATAGTTTATATAAGTTAATAAATAGGTCAAATTACTGTTTTCGTCCATAACTTGTATGATTATGAATCATAACTTGACAAGTTATTCCTGATTTTTGTCCATAACTTGTCTGGCTATGAACCATAACTTGATAAGTTTGTCCATAATTTATCTGGTTATGAACCATAACTTAACAAATTATGACCTATTAATTTCTATAACTAAAAATTAGTCTATATATTTTCTTAAACTTTTCATATTGACTTATTTTCTATTATTTTTCAAAAAAAAATACACGACTCCCTCCAAAGCCCAAAGATAAAGGCCCAAAAGTTTTCCCCATATGCCATGTCCAAACACCTCTCAATACCCCAATTGCGGTTCGAACAAAGAAGCCTCAATAACTTTAAGCCATGGAATCCTCCTCTACTTTCCTCATCACTCACAATGGGCGACCGTGAACGAGACAGGGACCGAGACCGGGACAGAGACCGAGAAAGACGCCGCGACAGAGACGACCGTGATCGTGGCCGCAGCAAGAGGTCCCATACTCCCGACCGCACCCGATCCCGCCACCCCCGCTCTCCCGACCGCTACCGCTCCCGCACCCTCTCCCGCTCCCGCTCCCCCCCTGACGACCGCTCCCACCGCCGCCGCCACCACCACCACCGGACTCCCTCTCCGGAGTCCCGCAAGCGCCACCGCCGCGATTCAACCGCCGACGACGAGAGGGAGAGGCAGAAGGTGGTGTCGGACTTCGTCGACCGGATCGCTAAGGAGCAGCAGAAGCAGAAGAGGCAGAGCGATAATGGCAGTGAAGGAGGAGAAGGAGAGAGAGAGGAGGAGGGAGGAGGAGGAGGAGAAGAGGGAGGAATGAACGAGGACGAGATGGAGATGATGAGGATGATGGGGATTCCGATGGGCTTCGACTCCACCAAGGGGAAGCAGGTCGCCGGCGCTGACGTCAGCGGCGTTAAGGCCGTTACCAAGCGCCAGCCCCGCCAGTACATGAACCGCCGCGGGGGATTCAACCGCCCCTTGCCCGCCGAGCGTACTCGCTGAGACCGGTTAGGGTTTTGTGGCTCTTACTTCTTCGATTTTTGAATTTTGCGCTGAATTTTGAGTTCTGGCTTTGAGAAATTGGGATTGATTGTCTATTTACTGATTTAACAGACCTAGCAGTTGTTTGTTACTTTTCGAATTCGTTTTCCACTGAATTTGAGCTTTGGTTTTGAGATAATTCTAGGTTTAGGTTTTTGCTTCAGGTTCATATTTTGCTAGTATGGTGCTTTTTGCTGTTTATCTTTTGTATATTAGCTGAAATTGGATCAGTCGTCACACTAATAGCCTATATGTTTCATTAGTTTGAACAAAATTCAAATTTTAATGAGAAAAGAACAAAGGTTACTGTAGAAAAAGGTTTGAAATATGGTTCAAACACGTAAAAAAACTGGTCTAAATGTAATCTTTTGTTTTAGATTATTTATTGGAAAAGTGCATTTGAACAAAACGGTAATGGGTTGTGACAGAATGAAAACAAATGATTAGTGAGATGCCTTTTGTGGTTTAGCTTCGTTAAATTGGCTGAAACATGTAGAAACGTTTAGCTATATTTCCTATTCGTCCATAGTTTCGTGATAGTAGTTAGAACTTTTCTTTTAGTTGGTAATAAAACCCATGTGTATGGAGAGAATGATGAGATGAACCTTGTGTTAACGCTAAAGTACCATTTGCGCTTCCTCCTTATCAAGTTAGGTTTTTCAAGACTTTCCCAATAGTAAGTGAGAAGGTTTATTAGGTCTAATATTGAGTTGTGTAACGTTACTTTTGCTTGCTGGTGAATTGGTGGCAGAATTGACATGATAATTTAGGAAAATAAAGTCTCAGATCCGTCATGTTAGTCTAGCTTCTTCTAAAAACTCATAAGAAATGCTTTTGTTTTTGTTCTTGATTCAAATTTGTATGTGAATACGTATCTTAACTAAACTAGTTATGGTATGTAACAAGAGTGAGAACCAGTGGCTATTGAGATGCTTTTTTGCCGTTTAGATCATCTAAATTAGCTGAAACTAGGTAACTGACTGATCGAATTTTGCCATGCATTTGGAAGTTTTAGGTGGTATCTTCAATTTGTACATAGTTGTAGTAATAAAGCGGCTTTTAAATTTTAGTAGCAGAACTTTGCTAGCTCAGTGATACTGCTACGTTCCTTAGGCTTTAATATGTTACTGTTTAAAAGGAGAGGTTTGTTAGATGTTTCTGAAAGAAACCGTATGTGTCTAATGGGAGGCAGGAACCAAGAGACCGACCTTGTTTATTGACATTAGTGTGTAAGTCATACCATCCTTTTGCGGTTAGATTTACTGGATTTTTTTCTGAATGAAAAAAGCTTTAGTGGTCTTTGCTTTTCTTTTCTTTAGCTAGGCAATATGTTCAAGCTCAAATTACCAGTTTAAAGGGTGCTTGGTCTTTTGGCTTAGGTTCCAATATTTAGAATTGCTACTCCTTTTTTGTTCAGGGTGGATGACATGATAGTTTAGAACATATAGCTTCAGGCCTGTCGTATTCCTCTAGACTGATTCAAAAGCCTGAAAGAATGTGTTTTTGTTTTTTTTTTTGGTCCTGGTTATTGTATTGACAATTTATTGGTAGGCATCTTACAGAGTGGATAGTTTTGTAATTTAAAAAGAATTAAAACTAAAAAGGTAAAGAACTCAACCAAATTATTTGATAGGTGGACATTAACATCTTTCGAGCGTTAAAATTTAAAAATCAGAACTCATCAATCTTAGAGTTAGATTTTGTCTTGATTACGAGATTTTAAGTTACTGGTGGATATTAGCTCATGAAGTAGGAATTATTGTGGTTATGTTTGGTTTGCTAATTCAGGGAACTTGTGGAAGAATATTGGGTTATGGTGTTTTATCTTTGGTAGCCTAACATTTATAGTTCAAGTGCCAATTTACTCGGTGTAAGAACTAAGAAGCCAGCAGCATTTTCCAAGTATGTCCTCTGTTTAATCAACTTTAATGGTAACTTAATGGTTACCATTAATGCCCCTATTGAATATTATGGATTTGTGGAAAACCTGCTCGTTTTTTTATTTATAGAAAACTTGTTTCTTTCCTCAGAGACTAATTTTTTTCTACAAAGAAAACTAGGTCAATTGAGAAAGATGGTACCCATAGAGTGATTGGCAGTTTCATGCTCATTATGTTTAAACTTTGCAATAAGATTTGCTTAATGTAATAGAAGAAAAAAGATTTGCTTAATATAATAATAAAAACTTGCTGAAAACTCTTTTTTCTGCCTCGGATATCTTTTTTAATTTGTTGGGGTTATGAGTATAATTAGGGAGGATAGAAATGAAAGAATTACTTTTAGACTGGCTTTTGCGAAGACACATTTTCGTTATATTTATGTGTCTAGTTCAAATTTTCAACTAGTTAGTGTAGGCTGGGTGTTTCCAACCGAAAGCTTGTTTCACAAGTTACGTTTACAGGGTTCACAATTAATATGTTATAATTTACAGAACCTATTTGTTGCAATATCTAAAGTAGTTTACCTTCCCAGATTCTGAGAATTTTTAGAGAACACGGGGATGATTTGAGGAGTAGTTTTAGCGCTCATTTCTCTGTTTTCTGCTGTTTCTGAAAACTCACTGATTTTGTTTAGTATCTAGGCTACGGATAGTCCTCAATCTATCTTATCCTACTTGTGGTTTATGTGCCTCCTTCACTGGGAGTTAAACTCAAATAGCCCGTTTGTTTTGCGGGTTTGAATCGATTTAAACTTTTTTACTTCAGTATTTTCTCTCACAAAAAAGTTGATTTATGTTCAAACTCTTGGAAAAAAAAAAAAAAAAAAAAAAAAAACTTGGACGGAAAAGAAAATGCATCAGCAATACTTTGTTCTACTCTTTGCTTGAAGGGCATGTTTACCAAACAGTAAAGTAATGTAATATGATTGGAAAGTAAAGTAATAAGAGTATCATTGATTTGGGAAATGTTTACTTGACTAACGGGAAATAATCGGTACATTCTATAGTGTTCACTTAGTTTAGATATAGTAATTTTGTCAATATCATTATTTTGCATTATTAAATTATCATTAGCTCATATCATGGGATTTTATTAAGGATATATAAGTAAATTTGGCATACATTCCCTTTATGAGGGAATCAATACCAATGGTCCTATGAGGGTACCGGTATTGGCAATTTCTTTCGAGATAATTGCACTACATGGCAAAATTTCATGTCTTGGATTGCAATTTAGCAAAATTTTCAGAATATTATAAATAAAGGAAAAATGATAGTCATTATCATAATAATATCACATTTTATGACTATATAGTATTTATTTTAGTGATATCAAAATTTTGCTATTCTTATAATATTTAAAAGATTGTTATATTTAAATTCTACTTTGAAATTTTGCTATACGTGTAAAGAGTCCTTCCTCATTCTGTGCATTGTGTGGGGCTCAATAAATTTTCATTATTGATTTTGTAATTTAACACATTATTTATTGAGAAAGGGAATCATCACTTATTTTTCGCTTTCGTTTTCCTTTCCGCTTCATGCTAAGAAAACATGCTTTTAAGTTTCTCCTGTTTGTTAATTTTACTGTTTCTCCCTTCTACAGGTCACTGTTTCCCAAATCCGAACCAGGTGCATGAAAGCCATCAACCGGGAGCAAAGGAGTAAAGCCATGTAAGATCCATTTCCTTTTTGCTCAACTCACTACCAATGAGACAAATTTTCTGGCAGTGTATGATCTAAACCTTGTTACATTGATTGATATTCATGTATTGAATACAGAATTGGCATCTGGATCAGCCATTATGATAATACCAAGGTGTGCTAAATTTGGACGACTGATCCCAAAATCCAATTTTCTTTATCCATTATAGTGCCCGTCTGTTTGCAAACTTTCTTTTAAAAATAAGGAGAACCACACTGATACCCCTCGAGGTTTGTTAAAATTACAACACTACCCCCTCCGGACTGTAATTTTTTACGTCAACACCCTTTGGAAAGGTTTTCTTGGGTCGCAGGCGCTTGACATGGATCGGCTTGGTCATGGTTTGACTACATAGAAAGGTTTGACCTAGTAAGGGAGGCGATGGACTGTGGATCTCATCAAGACAACGATGAGGCTATTGGGTCAAGGCAGAGGCTCAATGAGTGAGGGGCTGTGTGTTGCAGTGATTAGGGCTGGCAATTCGTGTCACGTGTCGTGTTTGTGTCGTGTTTTGATCGTTTTTTAAAATTTTACAGTCAATCCGAACACGACCCGTGTCACGAAATTTTTTAAAAACTGCGACATGAACACAACACGACCACTTTACGAGTTGACACGACACGATCTGAAAATGACCCGTGACACAAAATTGACCCGTGAATCCGAAATTGACACGAAAATTGTATACTTTTATTTAGTTTTTTACATGTTAGAAATAACTTAAAATTCATAACATACTAAATTACAATAACATCCATTGAAATTAAGTAAATAATAGTATAAGATAAATTTAAAATATGTAATGAAAAATATATGTATTTTTTAGTTTTTTACGAGTTTCGTGTCATATTCAGGTTAGGTGAGTTCAACTTGAAATTGACCTGTATTTTTTGTGTCAATTTCAAGTCGACCTAATTCTGACCTGAATCTCTTTTTTCTCAACCCTAACTTGTAAAATTTGTGTCGTTTTTGAGTCATGTCGTCGTATCGTGACTCATATTGTCGGCCCTAATAGTGATAGTATTAATGTGGCCCACCAGGTAAGGGAGGGAGGGGCAGTTGATGGTGGGCCGTGGGTTGGTATGACTGCTAGGGTGAGGGGGCGACGTGCTTGTAGTAGGTTTGGCAAAAGTTGTCGAGGAAGTTGGTTGGTTGGGCAGCAGAATGAAGATTTTTTTTTTCGTAATTATTTTTCTTAGAAAATGGTTGAATTTTGGGATATAAAACAAATGGTCATTTTGAGATCAAATGTCTGAAAATACCTTCGCACCTTCTTCCTCTCCCCTAATGTCTATTTTGATTGGACTTTTTGATGGCGAGGGTTGAGCTCAATAATGTTGCAATACTTAAACAGTCATCAGTGAGCCTTTTGATAGTGAGGCTCAGTGCTCATGAACTCGCAACCCCGCCCGTTTGACGGGGCGACTTGACAAGCCTTGCAGAGGCAATGCTTGATCCTTTGTGGATGTCTCACAATGCTTGACATTCAACATCGAGGTGACAAGCTTTGTCGTTGCAACCCCGGGAAAAGGGGTTCCATCCTTGCGTTTGAAGCAACTAAAATGACCTAACCTAGTGGAACATTAACCTCCAAATTTCAGGTAAATATGTTGATTGGACCTTCTCTAGTGTACAACAATTTTAAAGCATAATTATAGTTCACATAACCTAGTGGAACATTAATGTCGCTATAAACATAACCATATAATAATAACACTAACTTTTAAGAGCATTAATGATCAACAGAATATAAAAGACAAATTATTGACAGTGAAGTAAAAAAAAAAAAAAAGGGACTTTTTAAAAAAATAAAAGTAAAAATCTTATCTCCTCGTCGTTGGAAATTAAAAATGACCAAACTCATTAAAATAATGAACGGTACGGTAGCTTTCATGAACGAAGGAAAAACACCGATATCAATTTTGATTAGGGACAACGTCAAAAGTTAAACTAGCCCTTCAAGGTAGCGTTGCTCTCAAAAATAAAAAAAAATAAAAAAGAGAGAAAATGAAAACTCTTGAAACCAGCTAAGCACTCAAACATCATACAAGCAAATAATGCAAGCAAATAAATAAATACACTACTTATTAGAGTGTCAAGCAGGTAGCAGAGCCTATAACTTCGTTTCTTTTTTTGTACTAGTAAGTCAAATTTTTTTAACCGTTAAATTGACGTATTTTTTTATTTTTATGTAATTTTATGCAGAATTGGCGGACAAAAAAATCTGATCCACCGGCATGAACTGACAGACAAAAAAATCTGATCCACCGGTATGTTGACGTAGTATAAATCTTTCTTTTTTTTTTTTTTTTTTTTTTTTTTTTTTTGAGAGCTTTGTTACCCGTAATTTATTAAGTTTGGTGTATGCTGATTGAGTGAAAAACAGAAGATCATAAATCATAAACTTAAAAGAAAAAAAAAAAACGATGAATATGTGAAAGCAGATGACTTACACAGAGGGTGATGCAGTGAAGTCATTTGTCAAAAAAGCACGGCTAACGTTATAAAATAGATAACCAATTCTACTAAACGTGGCAGGTAAAAGCTTCTGTGCTTGACACCTAGTAACCACAACACTGCTAAGACCCTTCTTCTCAGCCAAAAAAACAAAAAACAAAATGGTGGCAATTCCAAGGCAAAGTTTGGCCATTGTAACGGGAAGCCAATTAGCAAAGATTGGTTTCAAGCAAAAAAGAAAAAATAAATAAAAAGGAAAGAACGGCTCTTAGAAGAACACACCTCTAAAGGACACGTATTTCATGTACAACTACATACACACACACATATATTTTGCTTCAAAGTGTTGGACACTAATTGGTCACCTTTTTTGTATTAGACGTGTACTAAGATTTGATCCAAGAAAATAATGCCCCAAGTGATAACCCTTTGGTATAAATATCACTTCTCCTCTTAGAAGGGGTCCGTGAGTCAATAATTATTCTTGGACCAATGCAAGCATAGTTATATTTTACAGAAAACAAAACAAGGGGCTCCACTTGCCAAACATAAAGAAATATCACCTTTATCCCATAGAAAAAATATCACCTTTATCCCATAGAAAAAGGAAAACTAACAAAGAAAGACAGAAAACCATGGACTATAAGAGAATTTATCATAACCAAGCTTTATCATTACTACCTTCCAAACAAACCATGATTCAAAACAACCAACACATACCAGTGAAAAAAAGAACACCAACATTGTAATCCAGAAAGTTCCTTAAAAACAGTGAAAAAAGTGGTGCCACCACTTAAACATTAGGCGGCAGTAGTAGTAGTAGTAGTGGTGGGTTTCTGAATGACAAAGGCCATGCACTGAACCTGGTGCTTGTTGTCAAATGCCAAACAGCGAATATAAGCATTTGGGTATGCTTCTTTGCACTCACGGATTTCATTCAGCACCTGAGAGGAGTCATTGCAGCCAAACATGGGCAGCTTCCACAGTGTCCAATACCTCCCATCATAGTATCCTGGAATCCTGCTGTTCTCTCTGTGTACATGTCCCCTCTTCATATATAAACAGACACAAAAAGAAAATAATTTCAGCCAAATACATACTGCTTAAATGAAACAATCAATACAGATTCCTGTACATGAAGAGGAATGTTATAGCCAATCCCAAGTGGTTCATTTCTTGATGGTTTCATTTCTTGGTTGTAAAGTGGGAGCCATAGAGCTAACACCTAAAAAAATTCTAAATTCTAACACTCATGCTATGCTTTGTTACTATTTTTAACCAAACTCAAATTCACATTTCAATTTTTGAACTCACGAAGTTATAACTGGTTAGAGAATTGGCTAGAAATGATAGATTAGTATTGGTGATACTGTTTTGCTCATCAATGAACCAACAATCTGCATCATTACCAGGGGAGAATTCGCCAATAACTCAATCCCATAAATCGGTTATTCGCATTTTGTTGGATTGGAAGTGATACATGCATTTTTAATAAACGAATCAAAAAGTAGCAGAATAAGACCACATAACAACACATCATTTTTATTGCATTACTCTGGCTAGTTTATGTAAAAGAAAGTCCTTTTGGAGACATGCATAAAGGCATTTAACGAATGGAATATCATCTGACCTCATCGAATTCAAGGCATGGGATCCAGCCATTTTTAAGCATGTAATCAATCTCTTTGGCGATTGAATCATCTGAGGGAGGTGGGAGGTAGGACAAGGTCTCAAACCTCTTGTTGTTGATTGGATTCCATGTCTGTAAAATTCAACCACAAATCACACATACAAGAATTAAGGAACAAGAATCTAAAGTGGTTTCAAGACATTACTTATGACCCTTTTATTCAAATTTAAAAATTTTATGAGAGAGAACATTATAATAAAAAGGTTTGAATTGTAGTTCAAACCTACTAAACAAACGGAGACCATTAAGCTATAGGACTTAAAATTACCTTCATGCAGTGAATTTTTGAACCATTGGAGACGGTTTTCCTTGTCCATGCAACAGAATCCTTGACTGGAACAAGTGCTTTAGGAAAGTTGGTTTTCAGGCCAACATAGCCGGATCCAGCAACCGAAGCAGTGAAAGTTCCAGCAGACATCTTCAAAAGTGGGTGTTAGATGAGAGAACAAAAGCAAATGAAGTATATGGTAGTAAACAAAACAATGAAATATAGTTTTTTCTTTTGACTAGTTGCACAAGTGATTAATAGTATATTTGGAAGATGGTAGAATTGGTTTCACAAAAGAACAAAAGGAATCAGCTTTTCTGTTTGTGAGATGATGTGTGGGTTTTTTTTTTTTTTTTTTTTTTTTTTTATAATATGGAAGAGTGGTGTGTACGAGGTGGTGTGTGTAGAGTAGAGCCTTTATGAGGCTCTTTCTTTGGTTTTTCATTTCATTTTCAGCCAACAGTACAATTGGCACGGAAAGAAAATGGTTGGGACCCACCAATGGATTTTGCCACTTGGGAATCCCTGCTAGCCAATTTAAGACATCATCAACACAACCGTTTCAATTAAATATAGGATACGAGTGATGACTACAATTGGCTTTTCTTGGAGCTCGGAAACAAACTTAAATTTTCCTGGATATGAACATGGTGTGAAGAAAGTGCCTTGAAGAATGGGATGCCTAGTTGAATCGCTCAATATCCAGATAACAGCAGAAGTAGAGAAATTGGGTTAAAATCTTTCATCTGCCATAATACAATTACAACATCAAAGAGTATCTTGTTTTCCATTTATACAAACAAGTCCGTGGCTTGGACACAAGGGACTTTTTAGTTATGAGGAGGAGATATGGTTCTCAAGCAACCAATGAGGTTAATAGAGAATCACTCTAAACAGATTCGTGGGTATTATCATTGCACAAGAAAGGCCTTAATTTGAGTCTTTCAACTCTACCCTGATTGGCGAGTGCTTTTGACACCTACCAAAATTAGAGTTTGAAGTAGTAGGGTAGAAGTTTTTAACTTTTAAGGATCGGGAGGCAAAGTGACAATGACTGTAAAGTTCAGAGTCACAAATGAGAATAATCCTCATTTCTTTTAAACAACAATCTCGTTAGTGATGAAAGAACTTTTGAGTTCTCTTTTTAGTTGATCTAAAATTCTGTAAATACTTCTCAACTTAGGATGAGACTTGTCATCAGCTACAAACTTATGGACCACTCCATCAACCTCAATGAAACTCCAAGCAAAGCTTTTCACAACTTCTCTCTCCTCCATCATTTTCCTGAGTCTCATCACATCTTCCCAGCAACCCATATCGGCATACATGTTGGCTAGAAGGACATACCTTCCACTATGTGTAGGCTCTAATTGTATTAAAAGCTTTCCCACCATCTCCCCCAAATCAACATGGCCATGCATAATACACCCATTTAGTAATGACCCCCAAATAGCCCCATCCGGTTCCATCGGCATGGTCCTTATCAATATTTCCGCGTGTTTTACTCGTCCAGAGCGGGCCAAGAGATCAACCATACAACCATAATGCTCAATCACAGGCAAAATCCCATAAACTTTACTCATACGTCCAAAATATCCCCATGCTTTATTAACCAAAGCTTCATGATTACAAGCAGATAGAACCCCAATAAATGTTACAGCATTTGGTTTTGGTCCCTTCTTTTCCATTTCTTCAAAAAGCTCAAGCCCCAACTTGTTCTCTCCATTACTAGCCAACCCCAATATCATAGCACTCCAAGTTTTCACATCCTTATATGGCAGTCTACTAAAAACTTCTTTGGCATCTCTAATGCACCCACATTTGGCATAAAAGTCTATAAGCGCCGTGCCTAACTCGAGCTCATATTCAAATCCATTTCGGACCAAAAAAAAGTGAATCCATTTCCCTTCTTCAAACGCCCCAACAGAAGCACAAGCATTAAGAACACTAACAAAGAGAGACCCTTTACCAAACTTCACATTGGACCCACTTTTCTTCAACTCACGAAACAACAGAATCGCCTCATAGAAACACCCATTCGAAACGTACCCAGAAACCATTGCGCTATAAGAAACATCATTTCTCTCAGGCATTTCATCAAACACAAGGCATGCTTCATCAACCAAGCCATTCAAGCAATAACCACTTAACAAGCTAGTCCAACAAACCACGTTTGTCGTTTCAATCCTTTCATCGAAAACCCGACGAGCAAACTCCATTGTTCCACACTTGGAATACGCACAGATCAAAGAGCTAACAACATAAACGTCACAACCATGGCCAAACTTGACAATCTGACCATGAAACTGACTAATAAAAGTCAACTTAAAACAAGCCTTGACCAAAACAGCAAACGTACGAGCAATAGGCTCGACGCCAAAGCTACGCATCTTGGCATAAACAGAAAAACCCTTTTCGGGTTTTGAACTCTTCGCGAAACCCATTATCATGGAATTGAAATCGAAGACATTGGGTGTTGAAATTCGATTGAAAAGCGTCTCTGCATAACGCAAGTCTCTGTAATCTGATAATGCGGAGAAGGCTAAGAGCTTGCTGGAGATGAAGGAGAAGCGAGCGAGGCCGTGGGTGATTGTGTGGGCGTGGATTTGGTTTAGCTCGTCCATGGAGGAGCATCTTTGAAGGAGATTAAGACACGGAATGTCTGAGATTGATCGTACGAATGCTCTGTTCATAGGACAGTGTTTACTACGGAAGTATCAAAGAACCGGTTTTGAAGATTCTGTTTAATGTGAGGTTTGGGATTTTATTGTCCATTGGAACAAAATTTCGACCAAACAAAATTTAGATTGAAAGGATAAATAACTTAAAAGAAATAAGATGAACGATCAAAAAACATAAATCACTTTAGAAAAATAAAAAGAGCAAAATAAGTAGTATCTCAAGATAATTATATTAAATAATGAGTGCCTCGATTTGTCCATTCAATTAAAAGCAGTTCAAAGTGTCATGGTCATAGTCCTCGTGAAAGTGACGATGTCTATATGATAACAAATCATGTTATTTGTATTTTGTATTTTTAATAATTTTAAGACGGTTCTTTTATTTTGTGTTTTTTATTATTAAAATGATATCTTAAGATTAATTTTTAAGACGTAAAATGTTTAAATTACTCTTTTTATTAATTAAATTAAAAAAATATTTTTAAAAATATTTTAACTTATTATATTTTTTTATAATATTTAAACATTTTAAAGTATTTTTAAAATTTTTTTTAAATTATAACAAATTTTATAAATTGTTTATGAACTTTGCACTTGTGTCAACATGCCCCTTAAACTTTAAAATGCGCATGTTGTGTTCTCTGAACTGTCACTTTAGTGTCAACATGTCCCTTAAGTCTAACTTCGATAAGTTTTTAACATAAATGTTTATAAATGCCCCATAATACCCCCTGAACTTTAAAATATACCCATTGTGCTCCCCGAAATATGACATGTCTTTAACTTTTCTCTCTTCATCTTGATTCTATCATTTTTTAAACTAAAATGTTGATATGACCATTAAATTGCTAATTAGCTATGATATTTGGGGTTATTGAATGTCTTTCCCTCTAAAAATACTAATTAGGCATTAATTTTCAAAACATTAGTTGATTAGAGACAATAAAGAGAGAAAAATGAGGAGCAAATTTGTATAAGGTAATGGATTTGTAAATTTTTTAGTCTTTTTTTCCTTTTTTCATTGGAATAGGTTTATTAAATTAATAGGTTTCTTAATACATATAATAGATTCTTCCTTGAATTTTGTATTATGTGTTTATTTTGTTTTTTTTTTTTTTTCTTTTGTTCCGTGAAGATTTTTTCTTATGGTTTGTTAAGTTAATGAATTTTTTAAGGTTTGTGTTGAATTCTTTAAAAAAACATGTTTTATGTCGAGCACTTCTATCGAGGTTATAACTAATATTTTTAGAGGAGAATGCATTCAATAAACCCCCGAATATCATAGCTAGTTAGTAATTTAATGGTCATATCATCATATCCATTCAAAAAATTGATAAAATCAAGATGAAGAGAAAAAGTTGGAGACATATCTATATTTTCAAAGCACAACAGGTACATTTTAAAGTTCAGGGGCATATCGTCACAAGTGACAATTTATGTGGCATTTATAAGCATTTCCGTTAAAAAACTTGACGGAGTTAGACTCAGGTGGCATATTGATACAAGTGACAAAGTGCATGAAGCACAATATACATATTTTAAAGTTTAAAGGACGTGTTAACACAAGTGAAAAAATTCAGAGAGAATTTATAAAATTTATCCTTTAAATTATTAGTTTGTTGTTAATTAGTGAGAAAGGTAAAATGAACGTTTTATGTCTTAAAATCGATCGTAAGGTGTCGAAAGAACGTTTTTCAAAGATGAAAATAATGTTTTAATATTATCAAAAACAGAAAGCAATGGCTAGATCTTTGACTATAATAGAAAATACTAAAATGATTTTATCCTAATTTTTATGTTGTGATTTGACAATTTTGTCCTTCATTAAAGTTCCTTTTTTTTTGTAAAATTAGATTTCATTTACAAAATTGAAACAACTATCGCCAATGGTTAATGGAGGTTATACTTATATCTTAGATTGAATAACAATGGTTTGTTATTATTATTATTATTATTATTTTTTAAAATCACTTGTCATGAAATTTCACAAGATTTACTATTTAGGGGTGGTTCGGCAGCTCCATTTTTGAGTTAAAAACTCAAAAAAAAATAACTCGAGTTATAATTTTATTCAAGTTCATGTTCTTTTAAGTTTGAACTCGAGTTTGGGACTAAAACTCGAGTTCAAGTTTCCCTTTCAACTCAAGTTCAGAAACTCGAACTCAAATTAATGAACAGTATTTTTTATATTCTTAAAAATGTTATAACTTTTTCATTTTAATTCTGATTGAGATGATTTTTTTCCTATGCGTTGACAACAAAAAGACGAATAAAACTCAACCCATATACCCTATTAAAATTTTCTATCAGCATTGAGTTTTTATTAAAATACTAGCTAAATACAAATTTAAGTTTTGACTCACTCAAACACAAACTTAAAAAGATTCTTATCTCAAACCATAACTCAAATGTACACAACTAAACACAAACTCAAGTTACAAGTTCAACTCAAGTTATAACTCAAACTCAACTCAAAATCTATACTCAAGTCACCTAACTCAAAAACGGTAAAAGAATAGCCCCTTAATGACTTGAGCTAATTAATTGGCATTGTTTTAGGGCTTGTTCTTTTGGAGTTTAATTTGAGTATAATTTTTTAGTTGAATTTGAGTTATAACTTGAGTTGAACTTGTAACTTGAGTTTGTGTTTAGTTGTGTACATTTGAGTTATGGTTTGAGATAAGAATCTTTTTGAGTTTGTGTTTGAGTGAGTCAAAACTTGAATTTGTATTTAGATAGTATTTTATAAAAACTCAATGCTGATGAAAAATTTTAATAAGGTATATGGGTCGGGTTTTATTCGTCTTTTCGTTGTCAACGCATAGAAAAAAAATCATCTCAATCATAATTAAAACGAAAAAGTTATAGCATTTTTAAGAATAGAAAAAATATTGTTCATTAATTTGAGTTCAAGTTTCTGAACTCGAGTTGAAGGGGAAACTTGAACTCGAGTTTTAGTCCTAAACTCGAGTTTGAACTCGAATTTAAACTTAAAATAACATGAACTCAAATAAAGTTGTAACTCGAATTATCTTTTTTTGAGTTTTTCATTCAAAGGCCAAGAAAAACGTTTGGATAGAAAAGTGTCAAACGACCAAATGTAGCAGCACAGCAGTAAAAATCCTTATATTTCGCTCCTTTTTCTTTTTTTTTTTTTTCATTGTGAGTAGATATCCAAAATGGCGAAATCAAGACAAAGCCGGCTTGATCTAGAAAGGAACGGGAATGGAGACAAATATTTCTTTTTGATTGTATAAATTTAGATTTTTATTTTTTGTTTTTAATTTACATTTTATTAGTTAAATAATTATATTAGTCACCCTGAAGGATTAAATTGAGTGGTTGTAGGCTCCTCCTTAGACTTTCTAGGGAGAAATCTAAAATTCAAGCCTTGGGCTTCCCTAATTTTAAAAGGTGCTTACCGATAAAATATTAAAAAAATTATATTAGTTAAAAGAGTATTAACTAAGAGTATATAGTAAAAATTAAGATACATATACTTTTAAAATAATTCTCTAAGAAAAGAAGTATGTTGCACTACCTAAGAGGAAAGAGAAGAATAGAAAAAATTACAGATTTTAATTTTTTAAGTACTTGACTTATTAAAAATAACTTTTTTAAAAAATTATATTTCTTAACTAGTTCTAATTTAAAAAGTAAAAATATATGGACATGATAAAAAAAAAAAGTTCCATTTTAAAGAGTATTTTTAAAATTTTTTCTTAAAAATATAGTCGTCACAGCCATGCACAGACGCACAAAGGAACCACCGGTGGGGGGCACGAATACCCACTGACAAAACCAAAAAAGAAAAAAAAAAATTATACCGTAGGCTATAACTTTTCATATTTCTACCCTAGTTTTTGTGCCCCCACTCATATCTATACGAATTTTTTCTTAAAGAAAAAAGAAATAATCAGTCTTTTAACACTTATTTGCCTTTAACTTTTAGACTTTCCTCATTGATATGACTTAGGTGGTCTTGAATTTTGAAGAAAATCACTCAATTCAAATAAGGCAATAGCAGGAATAAGAATTCCCTATTTCAGGTTTTTTTTTTTTTTTAATAAATTTTTCTATTTCCTCTACTTTTAGCCTACAGCAAATAAGATACATTTTCATAGTATGCATAATATTATAATATAGGTTGTTAAATTTAATATTTTAATCATATGGTGAACAGCTGAGATATCTTAAAGAAAATTGGAGTCGTCATGCCCTCCAAGAAAAAACAACAATGCAAAATTAGGTAAAGAGGAGTTTGATAATTCAAAACTTTCGGCATACTCACTTCGCCGATTCGAGTTTAGAATTCGAGTTTTGCTACAGTAAAAAGCTCTCAGAAACAGTCACATCTAACTTTTTTACTACAGTAAAAAGCTCTCACATAATATCACATCTTAACTCGAATTAAAAACTCGAATCAACGAACTAAACGGGCCCTCAATTACTTAAAATAATTTTATTTCAGAGAACACTACAAGTTTACTTAATTTTCATATTATTTTCGTTTATAAATTTTTATTTTGTGCCCTTATAAAATTTAAAGTCTGACTAGTCCCTTATCACAGTTCGGTCTAAAAGCGGTACCGGATAATCAACCATGTGTGAGAATTTAACACTAATTGAAATATTACAAAATTTATCGGGTGAGTACACATTGTCTATATTGTGCTTGAGTTAGAGATGCAACAATAGGCCGGGGCCCAGGCCCATCCTGAAACAGTGACGGGCCGGGTCGACACGGCCTGTCACTGTTCAAGGCACGGCCCAACCTATAAATATTAGTGGGCTGGGCTGGGCCAATATATATCGCCCCATGGGCCGGCCCGACACGGCCTATGAAAAATCATAGGCCGGGCTAGCCCGGCCCGTCTAAGCCTATGATGGGTCGGCCCAGCCCGGCCTGTCTAGGCCCAGATCATCCCATCTAGGCCTATAATTTTTTTATGTTTTTTTTTCCTTTTTTTAGTAATTTTGTAAACATCTTATAAATAATTATCTTTATTGTACTCTTTTTTCCTTACTAAGGTTTTGTCTCACTGAGTTTTTCTTAGAAAGATTTTTATTTAATGAGGTAATCGTAAATAAAATATTATTTTTCATATTTCTATTGACTATTCAAACTTATATATTTGTTAACTTATTTAAAAATTCAAAAATAAAAATTAAAAATTAAAAAAATTAAAAATTACATGCTTAGATGGGCTGACCCATCTAAACTTACGATGGGCCAAGATGGGCCTTGAGTGGGCTAGCCCATTCAAGGCCCATGACATGGTTTGTTATTAAAGTCTGACTAGTGGTACCGGATAATCAACCATGTGTGAGAATTTAACAGTAATTGAAATATTACAAAATTTATCGGGTGAGTACACATTGTCTATATTGTGCTTGAGTTAGAGATGCAACAATGGGCCGAGGCCCAAGCCCATCCTGAAACAGTGACAGGCCAGGTCGACACGGCCCGTCACTGTTCAAGGCACGGCCCAGCCCATAAATATTAATGAGCTGGGCTGGGCCAACATATATCGCCCCATGGGCCGGGCTGGCCCGGCCTGTCTAAGCCCATGATGGGCCGGCCTGTTTAGGCCCAGCTCATCTCATCTAGGCCTATAATATTTTTATGTTTTTTTTTTAGTAATTTTGTAAACATCTTATATATAATTATCTTCATTATACTCTTTTTTCCTTACTAAGATTTTGTCCTACTGAGTTTTTCTTAGAAAGATTTTTATTTAATGAGGTAATTGTAAATAAAATATCATTTTTCATACTTCCATTGATTATTCAAACTTATATATTTGTTAACTTATTTAAAAATTCAAAAATAAAAAATAAAAAATAAAAAAATTGAAAATTACATGCTTAGATGGACTGACTCATCTAAACCTATGATGGGCCTTGAGTGGGCCAGCCCATTCAAGGCCCATGACATGGCCCATCCTGAACCGCGGCACGGCCTAACCTGGTCCACGTAAAATTGGTCTGTGGTGTGGACTGAGCCGAGGTCATTCTTATATGGGCCGGCCCGACCCGGCCTATAAAATTCATAAGCTGGGCCAGCCCATTCTTGCATCTCTAGCTTGAGTGCATATGAAAATCAGAATATTTGCACTTCTTGTCATTGCTTTGGCAGAATATGAAGTTAATTATTACATTGTGGACAAGTGATTGTCTTACATTTCAAAAGCTTATTAAATTTTGTTTGATTGCTAGATTTATATCATGATTCGTGATTCGCTACAGTATTTTTTCTCACAAAAAATACACGTAAATCAAGAATGATTTTAAATCATGGTTTTGAATTCATAAACCAAACGTTAGTTTCTAGAAACTAATATTGTCAAAAGGGAAGGCAAAAAAAAAAAAAGAAAAAAAAAAGAAAAACGTCATAGGACCAATAGCTTAGAGGCTAATAGCGATTGAATTAGACAGGTTACGGCAAAAGGAAATGCTTCTACTAAACAAAACAATTTTGTGTTCCTTTAACACCAAGAAGAAAGAATTTAATGAAAATTTATAATTCACTTGTTGACCCTTCTCATTTATTACAAGAAGAAAGCGAGAGGAAGAAGATGAATGAATAAGACAAAAAAGTCATCTAATTAAATGACGAAAACAGTTTATTATTACTTACTAGGGACATTTTCTTTCACAGGTTATTTAACATTTGTGATTTATGACATTAAGTTTAGGAGTAATTACAAAAATTCTCCTTCAATTATAACCCTTCTAATAATATGCCTAAGAGAAATAACACGTGTTACACAAAAAATAAGAATTAATTTAACCATTTAGTGAACAATTACTCTGTTAATTTTTTTTTTATAAAAGTGTTAATATTTTCTTGTGCAGTCACATATGTAAGTAAAAGGAGAGAATATTATTTTTAATTTTTTTTAAATTTTATCAGTTTATTTTTTCACAAAAATTAAAATTTTTACATTATATCAACTTATAAATTCAAATTAGTTCTAGACATAATAGCATTACTAAAATATTCTTATATGATGTACCACAAGCCAATTATATGCCAATGTTTTTTAAATAAAAATTCTAACATAGAGAGTTTTTTCGTTGGATATTTTATAGATCAGGGAAAAATGAATATTACATTACAAAAATCGGGTGACACATTGTTATAAGGACTATAATTGAGGAGAAATTTTAATAATTAATCTTTAATTTTAGTATTTTTCTCCATATGACGACTAGTAAAGAACGAAAGTAGTAGTTCTCCTTCAACAAAATGATACTCCACTAATGCTAACTTGCCTCAGATCATGTCAATTTCGAGCGCGTTTGGAACTCGTTCTAAAATAATTTTTTTTATATAAAAATAAAAATAAAAACGTTTTCAATCTCAGACACAAAACATTTTTAAAAATACGTTTGGTAGTTTTATCAAGAGATTGTTTTTAGTATAAAAAAACTCATTAATGTCTTTTTCTCTCTCTACTCGGGAGAGGAGAAAATGAAAACAAAAAATAAAAAACGACTAAAAATAGTTTTTTATTTCTCTCTCATTTTACACTAAAATCAAAAAATTATTTTTATTTTTATTTTTTATCTTTATTGTGTCAAACACTGTTTTAAAAATATTTTCATTTTTTATTTTTTAAAAAACGTGAAAAACTAAACAGAATCAATTCTAAACACTACTTCCGCTTTTATTTCCCTGTTTGAAACATCACTTTTACAAATCATGCAAAAGATGGAACTGTTACCACGTGGCACCTTATTATAACTCTCGATTTTCTTCTCTTTCTTTTGTAATTTGTCAAAAAGCACGCTGAATATAAAACTGTTAGTAGAGAAAGCCATGCAATTCAATCCTGCGTCTCCGCGTAGTAAAAACATTTGGCAAATCATTTCAGCATTTCTGCAATCTAATCATCCATATCTAGCTAGCTGACCTGGACTTCAATTTCTGAGAGCTTTTACAGTGTGGGGAGAAGAATGTTCATCATTGGTGATTACGATAATTTATGCATTTTAGGTTTGAATTTACGAGTTTTAAATGTTGCAGTGGTATAAGTTACAATAGACTTACGAATTTTAAAGAAAATATAATAATTGATGCATTTGAATGACGAATTTGCAAACTTTTGAATGATTAAGTTATAAAGGTTACGATAACTTGTGGACAACACGGGTGACGTGAACGCAAAATTGGACCCTTAGAGAACGTTTGGTTGGAGGATTTAAACCATGTGATTTGAACCATTTTTAATTTACGTGAATTTTTTATGAGAGAAAATACTGTAGCGAACCATGAATTATGATTCGAATCAGAGAACGAATCCCTCTACCAAACATCCTCTTAATTTCTTCCGCGAATACATTTTTGTGTCCGAGTCTGTGTTTGTTGACAAGGAAAGAAATGTGCCTGACTTAGGTAGGGAAAATGGAAAGGACAAGGATGTTGTTTTAGAGAGTTTCTCAAGTAAGACAGCCGTATCAATAGTGCCAGTTTATAACGGTTAGATATGGTTAAAATCGCATTAAGATTGAAAAAAATATGCAGATAAGATCATTTCTGATACATAACTGACAACTGAAAAGTAAAGAACTACCGATAGTTCATTTTTTTCCACCCAGAGAAGCTCCCGAATGTATGTATTCTCTCGTCCAATTCTTCCAACTTAAGAAGGATCAAAATTGGATCACCCTATCGATTCCCTCTTATAATTCATCTTATTAAACAACTATAAACTTGAAATCCATCCATTAATCCTTCCCTTCCACTCCTATCCATCCTTCCACTTTTCCTTCGTATCAAACAAGGCCTAAGCTGCACTGAGATTTTGCACGTTCGTGAATTGGTCATAAAAACAATTGCGAAAATGGATATGAATTTAGACATAAACTGAATTATTATAATAATGAAATCTAACATTCTTACACCATAAGAATGGCAAATGGTGATGACATAATATATATATATATATATATATAAATGATGAAATAGTCTAAAATGAAGTGTGTTAGGAGGTCTAAAGAATTACTGCGCACAAACCAGGACTTGGTTTGCACCCAAAAACTCCTTCAAACTAATAGCTAGACCTTTGAAAGCTGATCAATGCCAAAGCTTCATACAGAACCCAGTTGGTACAACAGATGATCTCTTGCTAGAAATACTTTCTGAGAAAGTGTCAACAAGTTGCCCCGCAAGCGATGCTGGATCTTCGATAAATGTGTCGATGAACACCTTCACAATCCTTACCTCAAGCGGGGTTGCTCTCAAGCTAAACCAGGTTAGGAATTTCTGCCTAAAGTTCTTCTCAATATGCCCCTCGCATTCTAACCATCTGATGATCTTCACATAGTACTCGAAATCCCTATCCGAAAGACCATTTCCTGCGCATTCCTCGTCGGGCCTCTCTGCACTTCTTTTTTTCGATGTGCTGCCATCTTGGGGTTCACCTTTGCCAGTCCCGTTTTCCAGATCCTTGCTCATGGATTTGGATCTTCCATTTCTTCCTAGGCCATCCTTGAGCATTTCCACCTTGAAAGGAGTAATGGGCAACCCTGCATCTGAGCTACCAACAAATGGCACACATTCTGTCCCCGTTCGAACCAGAGTATTTGACCCGTTATCATTGCACAAGTCCTCAATAGTTTGGCTCTCAGACAAACGCTTGTTTTCGAATTTTAACACATCAGAATTTGACAAGGAACCAACGACCCCAACGGCACGATCCCCGACTGCATCTCCTAGGTTTGCTCCTTCACTATTGCAGGTAATGGCACCACTCGATAAACTAGCAGTAACAATTTTTTCAGTGCCCTTGCAATAAGTAAGATAATTGTCTGCTCTGTTATCAGCCTGATCACTGAACAGAGCAACATTGTTGGTTTCATCTTCTACCGAAGATGGATTAGAGAGGCTGCTACAGTTAGTTGCTGGGCTTTGACTTCTCTCCAACAGCAAGCAATTCGGGGGCTCATCCCCATTGCTTGTAGAAGACCGGACTTCACACGTACCCAACTCATTGGTGCCGTCAAATGAAACGACCTTGAAACAATACTCTGTACCAGGAGTAAGGCCTCTAACAACAAACCTCGTGTTTGGGGCAAACACCTTACAAGTTGGTTCTATCGAATAGTTTATATCGTCGGCCTTACGGTGCCATAAGGTGTAGATTACATTATTTTCTGATGAAAGATTCTCACAATCCAAAATCACAGTTAAGGATGTTGTCTGGATGTCTTCAAATTTGATCATGTCAGGCACTATTGATTTTTTATCTGAAATGAAAGATGCACACATCGAGTGAAATGTAAGTACTTGGCTAATTGTCATCATACTTGGAAGTCAGAAGCAAAAGAAGCATAAAACAAAAAATACTTGTTACTAAAGAAATTCCAAGGAAATGGATACTTCCAATTTTCATGATCTCTTCACTTTTTGTTTCACCATTCAGACTGATTTGTTACGCTTTGTTTTCGCACAATACCACTACCTTGAATAATGGGACCAGGCAACGACTGCAAATTTGCATCAGTACGCATCGAGTCTAGCAATTCCAGAGCGGACGCACAAAGCTTCTGAACCTCTTGTCCCGACGAAAGCCTATTGACAATACCCCTACCCATTTTCACGGGCAAGCCAGTCAATAGACCAACTTCTGCTTCAAGCTTGTTCACAGCTTCATCCACAATCTCATAAAGAATTTGGTACCTATTAGTTCCCTTGAGAAGTTTTTGGCTTAACGAGACACGATAACAAAGAATGTCCACCCGTCTGGTTTCCTTTGCCATGACCAATTGTTTTCTCCAGGACCTTAATAAATTCAAGCAACAAGAACCAAAAGTGAAAAAAGATGAATAAATTTGAGCATCCAATCCTCGAGAATTAGACGTACTTAAACTCGTGTTTGTGTTCTTGGCGTGCAGGTGAGAGAGAAGAGAAATAAAACAATGCAAACAGAACAAGTACAATTTAAACTCACATGTACAAATTAAAGCAGCAGCAGTGATGATTTATTTATTTTTTATATATATACAACAGAACAATTTTGTATGTTTCACTACGAAAAAAGTACTCAAATCAATACCAAAAAAAAAAAAAACACAAAAAGCCACATAAGGAACAAGAAATCGAGATCTGATAACGTACTAATAATGGGATTGAAATCTACCCTCCATAAACCCACATCTTATTTAATTCAACGTCTTATACTAAATACATTTATAAAGAGACAAGAAGTGTTTCAAACTAGTACTAATCCTGACACGAAACTAGAGGCTATAGAAAAGTACAAAAGGAAGATCACTCATTTTCTTGGTAATAAGTGAAAAGAATATTGAGGTTTTTATATTACACAGTTATAGTAACACTGAACAATTTTCCTTTGAAAGTTCTCTTATAATCACAGATGCCTTAAATATCCTTTTATTGATTGATTTATCGACCTGAGCTCATTCAAAGACAACATTAGTACCAAAAAAGAGACAGGACTGTTTTTTTTTTTTAGCTTATATTCTCTTCACACTATTTAAAACCCAAAATAATTTTCAGGGTGACAGGGAGTCTGTGGCAAGATCATTGATCAAACATGATGGTTCAACGAAATCAGTTTATTTCATTTGTATTTTAGAATATCCAAAGTGAAACTTTGTAATAAAATATAAGCTCGTGTCAGAAACGGATATAAGTGCCTCAAATTCCTGCATCAATCTTATGAGTAGATGTTTCACAGGTAGTCAGTTGTCTTAATTTGAATAGCACTCTTTCAAAATTTCATATCCTTCCTGTGGCCAATTACTTATTTTGTTTTCCAAATACAAATAACATCGTACTAAGAAGGAAAAGAATAAGCAAAAAGCTTAACAAAAGCATGATAATGTTTAAAAACCTGAAAGAAGAGCATGAATATTTACCCAAGCAAATCATTCACTTTCCCACAAGAGACGCAATGAAAGCTTCCATCTAGTTCCTCGATTTTCCCCTCTTTACCAATACCAGACTTTTCGTGTTTCAACGCACACTCAAGATGACATGACATGCCACATGAATTGCCCAGAAACGGAGGCTCTGAGCTGCAAATCAACCACAAGCTAGGGTCCTTGTTATCGTCGTACTTGTAACATATACAACATGAACACCTCTTGCAAAATGAATCTTCCCGACTTAAGGTAGCTCTACAAGCAGAGTTTTTGCAATACACAATATTAGTCAGATCAATGGTGACACTATTGCTTGATGCATTGCTTACTGCAGTAGCTAGCCGAGATGGTTGCTCAGTTTTCCTCTGCCTTTTAGTACTCCGCTGGCCAGGTGGAGGCGGAGAAGACTGTGAATCAACGTCTATTACGACCTCATTGCCTCCCAATTTCTTTTCAGATACAATTTTTAGAAGATGCTCTATAATTTTCAACTTTGTCAAACCTGTGTACTTTCTTTCCTTTCCCATCTCAGCGCAAAGGATCTGCAAGATTTCCTGACGACTCCATGACTGTAGCATCTCAGAGGCACCTTCCGACCAATTTGATATTTCGTAAACAAGTTCTCTTTTCTTCTCCATACTCATTTTACTGCATTTTGACGGGTCATGAGCAACTCCTGAAGTAAACATGAAAAAAGATGTGGGCAAGCCGTGAAGAGTTTATACATCAAATCTATCGAGCACTCACTATTGGGACGATGGGAGATAGCGAAATGCAAGAATGAGAAGATAAATTAGGAAGTGAGAAAACACTAAATTGATTAAAAAAATAATAATAAAAAAAACCTTTGACCTCTTAGAAATCATAAATAATAAAATAATTTTTTCTTTTCTCAGTCAAAATGATTACCAAAAAGTACTAAATGTAAACAAGAAGAAAACAGAAATCAACATAGCAAGCGTCCATATTACTGTTACTAATCCCAATCACCTGCCAGTTTTGAGACATCAATCGAATCTAGAACCTTTACTTTCGCCTTAATGTCTGAAATACTATCAAATATTAAAGAAATCAAATTTCATCCTCTACAAGATGAATAAAAAAAAAAAAAAAAAGGGTTGACTTGCATTCACAGGAGTGGTCTATCTATTTTGGATTGGAAACAACTTCATTTGACTTCAAATTTGCCTCTGCCTCTACGTTTACGCAAGGGTTACCACATGGGTTATTCGACAAGGCGGCATACACATAAATTCCAACCCATTGTATAACACAAAGCTTGCACATTCCACATCATGCATAGATACACATTTTATGAAGTGATAAAGACACCAGTGGCATTACAACATTAGATCAATCTTCAACTAAGCCCATCCAGAACTCTGGACATACTTTAACCAATAAATTTTTTATAAAAAAAATGCTAAATCTAAAATTTAATTTATAGTCAAACATTTATCAAGAAACAACAATATTACACAAAATCACAAACATAATATAAATCTCCATGAGTAACGAGAGTTTATTTCATCAGTACCCAGAAAAACCCAGAAGCCCAAATCAAAATCAAAACACTGGAATAACAAATAACACAATGTTCTATCAATCTGACCATAACGAATTGCTCAAAAAAATTTGACCTTTTTTATAGGCATCAACAGAGAAAATTATACCCAACAATGAGGAACAGAATCTCTCAAAAAGCTCCAAATTGACTGGATTTAAAAACCCAGATAAGATTCGATTAAGAGAGTTATAAAATAAAAATAAAAATAGAAGCAAAATAAAAGTTTACCCTCAAGAGAAGAATCTGTGGCCATGGCTGTTGAATAATAAGGAACCAGTCAGCTCACCCACATTAGCAGCAACTAACCCAACTTTTGTGAGCCTGTAAATAAGAAAATCCTCAGCACACAAATAGAAACCAAATAAATAAATAAATAAAGTTTACAAACAAATAATATTAAGAAATAAAAATAAATAAATAAATAACCCAATAAAGAGAAAGAGAAGATGATTATGATGAATGATGAAAAACCAAATACCAAGAAAGGACGCTTGAAATTCTTCCACTACAAACGAATCCATGACTTTTCTCTCTTATGGGTTCTTTTCTCTTCTCTCTCTCTCTCTCTCTCTCTCTCTATATATATATATATACTTATATTATCTGTCTCTCCTAATATCCTTTGGTGGGCTTTTGTTTTTAGGACCTGAAGCTGTAGAGGCGAGGAGATTCGACGAGGGACTCTTCTTCGCCATAGAAAGGAAGAGAGAGAGAGAGAGAGAGAGAGAGAGAGAGATGTATTTTAGAGAGAGAAAGGGAAAAGTAGCCAAAAACAGAGAGAGAAATATATATATATATGAGTAAGTAGCGGCCTTTTACCTTGTAAATTGTAATTGAGATATTTATATATATATACGGCTTTGAGAATTTGAGGCTTTTTGTTAGCCTATGGCTATTCTGTAGCAGTGTGCGCAAAAGCCACTGCATGTCATCTTCTTTTTCACCCTCAACGTTGCTCTCATTTATTGTTTATTTTATATATAATATTTTTTCTCTCTTTATATTTTATTCATTTATTGTTTTTTATATATATAATATTTTTTCTCTCTTTATATTTTATTAATTTATTATGTCTTTGGCAGCGTAGCAGTATGAAATTATTGGGCCTCTTGTTATTGGCCGAAATTAGAAACGGGGAAAACCTAGAAATACCACTCTGAAAATATTATTTGAGAAAATGAAACAAACACCTTTTAAAATATATGGGTATGAATTTTTTATTTTTACTCTTAATTAATATCATTATTAATTAAATAATTATATTAGTTAAAAAAATAAGTAAAGAATAAAAATTTAAACTCAGACACTTTAAGGGTAAATTTAATAATTTTCTCATATTATTTATGTCACACTATTAAAAATAAATAATTGTTGTTCAATTAATAAAGATAAAACATAAAACAAAAAGTCACGATGCTACTCAATTATTTAAAATGACATGAATAATAGGTCTGCATAAAATCATAATAAACTATGTACTTTTCTCAATTAGAAAACTATGTAGGACTCATTTGGTGGATGGGTTTAAACCCAATTCAAAAGGTGTTTTCTCTCAAAAAAATTGAATTTAAAAAATTTTACTACAATGTTTTCTCTTATAAAATTTTGAATTCTGATCCATGAACCAAAGGGCCGGTAATGATAGTAAATATGCTTGAGAAGATATATAGAAATGTCACTCAAAAAATATCATCTTTATATTTTTACCACTGAAAAATAGAGATTTGAAATTTATGCCACTCAATTCACCAAAAAATCCCGATAGGTATTCTTCTTGATAAAGATGGGTAACCATTTTCAAAGAGTATTCAAATATAATATTCTTTACAGAATATAGCAAATGACATATTTATGAAACTAAATTAAATAAATAGAAAATTTTAAAGTTATTTCAAGTAAATAACAGTTTATAACGTAAATATTTCATTTTACGAGTTATGACTAGTAAAAAAAATCTTTTCAACATAAATTTTCTTTTTATGATCGATAAAAAGATCTTTTTCTATGTAAATAAATATTTTTCATCACGTAATCATAAATAAAATATTTACATATTATTTGTTTTAAATAATTTTAAAATCTGTTATTGATTTAATTTCTACTATTTATTACGATTTCTGAATATTGTTTAATATTCTACCATAATATTGCTTTTTAAATAAACAATCATGTCATAAATGTAAGGTTATTGGATTTGATGGCATAGTACGTAAATTTCTCATCTGTTTGAGGGTGTTTATAATCCCATATGTTCTCAAACCGTCAGGTTTATCAAATCAAACCTTTTGGGTCGTTTGGGAAAAAAAATGCATACCACGGTGGATTGTTATGTGTAAAGAGACCGTTATTTAAACTTTAAAGCTTGAAAACTTGAAAACTAGATATATTTTTATATGTATATAATATATATATCATGAAAATTAAGAAATATATAAAGTTAAATGGTCGAGTCTAATCTAGTTCATATAATGCCTCAAATTCACAAATCATACCTTTTTTAAAGAAGAAATAAGACAAATATATTTTAAAAGTCTATGAATAATGATTTTTATTTTTTATTTTTAATTAATAACTCTTTCAGTCAAATAATTATACTAATAAAAAAATATTAATTAAGAATAAAAAGTAAAAAAATTAACCTGTTTGGTTCATGTATTAGAACCATGTGATTAGAATTATTTTTGATTTACGTGTATTTTTTATGAAAGAAAATACTGTAGCGAATTATGAATCATAATTCGAATCAGGGAACGAATCCCTTTATCAAACGGTACTAAATAAAGATAAATTTCATAATTCTCTTTATTTATATATATATGGTCTTGTTCGATTTTAAACTATAAAAATTTGTTTTAATGTAGAACTGGATTGATCAAGTATGACAATTCACGGTGCGGCCGCCTCTACATAGCCCTACTTTCAACCGCATGTTATTACAAAACAATAATATTAATGATAATAATAGTAAACAATAATAATAATTTGAGAGATTTTAACTTTACACTTTAATATCAAATACAAACCGAGAGTAAATGTGTTCCAAATTTAGGGATGTGTTTGGTCCGATTTGGTACTAAACTGTTGGACTGTTTTGGCAGTTAAAAAAAAATACTTATTGAGCAAGACCATTTATATGTAAGGAGATCAGTTCGGATGTCTCGTTCATTTCACCGATTCGAGTTTTTAGTTTTAGGTTTCTACAGTAAAAAGTTTTCAGAAAATATCACATCTAACTTTTTCTGTTACAGTGAAAAGCTCTAAAAAAATATCACATCTCAGCTCAAATTGAAAACTCGAATCCGCGAAGTGAACGATGTGAATGTCCGGTCATAGTTTGGGTCATATAATCCGGTTTTTTTTTTTTTTTTTGTCAAAACGAGAGCATCTTAGTTGACTTTGTTTTTTTAATTATTTTTTGACCTTTTTTTTTTGGTCCTTTTAAGTTAATTAAACTTAAGTGTTGAAAAACATATTATATCTATTTAAGTGGTTCTATTCACACATCTATTTTTACTCTCTACATCCCTTTTAAAATTTTAATTTCTTATGAGAAAAAATCCTTACATAAAATGACAAAAAAAAAAAAAAGAGAGTTCATAGAATTGAAATTTTGTAAAAACTTCACGCATAAAAATCAAATTTTTAAAACTTGATTGGAGTTATACTCAAATGCTTATGGCTTGGTCACTGTATGGATTTACCTTTGAGCAAAACTTTTAAGGTACTATTTTGAGGTTTTATTTTTAAGAGAGGTCACTTCGTATTAGTGACGAGTCAATGTAAATTCATATTCTTCTCTGCATGATCAAGATTAAAATAATGGACAGGTGAATAAGAAATTAACGTTTGAAGTGTTCATATAAAGTTAAAAAAATTAAAGAGAAAACCTCTTATTCAATATGGGAAAAGCGAAACAGGAATCAAGAACGGATGAAGTCCGGAAGTTGAAAAGAGGAAGAATGGAAGAAGCTCCTTTATCAAAATTTTAAATATAAAATAATACTATGATTAATTGATTAAAATAATTAACAAATCAAATTTAAAATTTGTGAGGTTAGCATTTGATATTTATATTTTAGTAATTAAATTAGAATTTTAATTGAAAGGTGACCACTCCAATAATTGTTGACGTATTTAAAGCTTAAACTATACGTTGTTGGTTGCTCACTAAAGAAAATAAAAAACTATTTCCATTAGCTTTTGTTTTTTCCCTAAAAAGTATTGTCATTTTTTTCCTTTCCTCTCTCTCAAAGTTTTGTTTTCCCCTAAAGCATCTACATTTCCATTCGCTTTCATGGAAAAGACAAAAGATGAGTGGTATAATGTGTTTGAAGAAACAATACAGTACTTAAATATATGTTAGAAAAAACAGAAAATTCATTACAAAAAAAACAAAAAAAACAAAAAAAAAAACTTCATTTATAGTACGTGATGATAAGTACTCTTTTGCTAAGGCGTGACGTCAGCACTTAGTCCAAATATGTTACCCAGTAATTTCTTAAAATTTCAATTGTTTTCCCAAAATTCTTTACATTAGTTAGATAAAATAAATTTAGTTAAAGTTTGTAGAGTGGATTTTTGAAGGGCAAATTTCTCTTTATTTTTTTGAGTTGGATATTTCTCTCTTTTTTTTTTTTTTTTTTTCTTCTTCAATTGATTAAAACACTAATGAACTTTTCTAAAAGCTGCAAAGTGTAATTACTATTTGCTTGTTAAGGATATTGAAAGCTACAAGCAATAATCCTTGTATTCAAATCCTGATCTTCTATTGGTTACTAAATAATATGCCGTTTAATCACAAAATTCATAGAATTTTTATTCTTTATTTCTTAAATAGTATCAGAGTGATTTTTTAAGTAAAGAATCTTGAAAAACAAGTTCAATTGTTTAGGATCTCTTAATCTAGTGGCACTGAAGGGTTTGGGTTATAAGTTGCGAGTTTAATCCCGCGTTGTATCAAAAAGAAAAGTTCAATTGAATATCGATTTTTATTGTTGCATTATATAAGTACTAATTAAATATATAAACTAAGCAATTATAGGAAGAAGATCTTACAAAACCCATAGAAAAAAAAATTGATCCTAGAATTACTAAAATTAAATCAGATAAGAAACTAGGGAAAAGAACAAAAAATAGGAGAAAGAACCACTATGATTTTATGATTGATTTAATTGTATCCAAAATTGTTTTGAATTTCCATAAGCTAATTGTAAAAAATGCCATTATATCTTAGCCTCGCCACATCTATGTAAAAAGTCAAAGTCAGATTATTTTCCTACGTTTTTTTTAGAGTCAATTTTTGTTGTAGCAAAAAACAAAAAACAAAAAAACAATTAGTATCAAGATCAAAATATTAGGACATCATAAGAAGGTTGACAATCGACACCTTTGAACCTCTCTGCATTAAATCCCCACTCTAAATTTATTAAAAATAAAAATCGAGAATATTAAACTAACTTATGGCTTTAAATAGAGGATACAGCTGAAAAGAAAAACCAAGAATGAAAAAGCAAAACAAGTAATTTATATGTATGTAATGACAACTGAAAACAAAAACCAAGAATGAAAAAGCAAAACAAGTAATTTATATGTATGTAATGAAAGAACAGTACATACATATATATATATATAATTAAGAAATAAAAATAATGCATATGTATTTAAAACTTAAAAATTTTAGATTCCCCATAGAGTAACATGCACAAGTAGTAGGTAACTATGAAAGAATACTTCTATAAGTAATTAAATAT